ACAAAGTAGAAAGGAAGATTACAGCTTTCCAAAATAATATGTAGATTATGCGAAACGAATTTGAAAAGACGATTCGAGAAGTGCATCGTGCTGAATATTTATTCACAATATCCGAAAAAAGGCTGCTAATTGATGATTTGCACGCTCCGGCGAGAAGAAATTTTCTGCGAAGACGCAGCATAGTACACGGATACGATGACCTGTGTCGAGATTCTTATACGTGATTCAATTGAAGTTGCCACTACTTTCTCACCGTTATTGACGTGCTGAGTAAGCACGCATGTGCCGCTCAAAGAGCAGAAACGAGATGGCGAAGGCGCAAAGATAATTCGAAACGACAGAAGATATCCGAAAAATTTGCAGACTGATAGAGGAAAGGAATTTTACAACTCGAATGTGCAGAAACTCTTGATAAGCACAACATCAATCATTATTCTACATATTTCTTAATGAAGGCATCAATTGAACGAAGGTATACCGTACGTTGAAAAATACACAACATATGGAACATATGGAAATAGTTTACTCACAATGGAAACTATAAATTGATCGACATGCTGCCGCGTCTCGTATCAAAGTATAACGCGCGCAAGCATCGAATTATCGGTATAATTACGTCAATGTTATCCGACAATCGCTAGGTCTCTTAATACGGTTTACAATCGTAAAGATCGCCACACCGCGATACAAAGTGGGTGACTCAATACGCGTGAACAAATTCAAGACAGTTATTAAAAAAAGTTACACGCTGAATTGGACCACGAAGGTGTTTAAAATTATTGAAGTGCAGCAAACTAATCGAGTGACATATCTATTGGAAGATTCTCGTGGAGATCCGATTGCCGGAAAATTCTACGAATACGAACTGCACTACGTTATTAATTCCGACGTGTAAATCGTTGAAAAAGTGTTGCGCAAAAGGAGGAATAAGGTTTACGTGAAATGGTTGGGATTTGGACACAATTCACATAATTCGTGGATACATATAAAGACGCCGTGTTATAAAAACTGTATTTATTAAACTGTATTTACTAAAAAAAATAAATACGTATTAAACGTATAATATTATATTATAAATATTACAAGTAAATATTATATCATATACATATTATATTACACAAATCTCTAGACATTGGTAGTGTCTTGGCGTTAAGCATAGCGCGAGACATGAATGTGCCTCTTTTACGCGAACCAGCGAGTTGCATCAAATCGAGATTATCGGATCTCAAAAATGGCTGCTTTGATGGAGATTTTAAGTACTTAATCGATAGTTTACACTCGGATCGTATTATATGTGCTTTTATTTTTTCTCTACGTGCCCTACAAGCGGAGATATCGCGACGGAAGATCCTAACTGCCACTTTTCAGATTAAGGTACTTCGCCATTATCGTCTACCGCATTCCACATATTCATTTCATGTCCTTCTTTACGCAAGAAACACTAGTGATATATATGATTAGCGAGCGCTAATCATAGTGATTTGGAGGCACGATAGTGTCTCGGCACTAGGCACGGCGTGAGTCTGCACTACAATAGTGACTTGTCGATTTTTTCAAAACAACAGGATTGATAAAGTCGGTAATAATAAAACACGCTGGTAATTGCTAAAAACTAGGAAATGATAACGAAAAAATGAGTGTGTTTTGTAATATTATTTTTAAATGCAATTGCGAGAGAAGACATGAGTGTAAATGTTTTGGATTCTACTAGGATCGAACTCGAGATTTCTGGCATGATAGACCAAGACAGTGCGCTGTCTTTCAACGCTCGCGTTCTATTTCTATCTTCTGTATAAATATTTAATATTTATAGCATACATATTATGATTTACATAAAAAAATTTTTTGCATATCCGGTATCCGATTATCAAATTATTACACAGTACAATATACATTCCCTTCCGTGAAAAAATCAAAGAGATTCTAAAAGATGTAAAAAAAAATTCCTGTGTCTAAATCAAGTTATTAACGTTTTTTATGCAGCGTTTTTTATCACATTTGCTTTATATTGGTTTTTTACAATTATTTTACAATTATTTTAAATTATATAATAATTTT